CCCTCTCTTCCTTTCTCTCTCTCTTTCTCCCTCCTCCCCTTTCTCTCCCTCCCCTCCTCTCTCCCTCCCCCCTCTCTCCTTTTCTCTCTCTCCTCCCCCTTTTTCACTCTTTCTCCCTCCCTCCTCCCCTTTCTCTTCCCTTCCCTCTCCCCTCTCTTTCTCTCTGTCTCTCCCTCCCTCCTTCCCTGTCTCTCCCTTCCCCCTCTCCCCCTTTTCTCTCGTTCTCTTCCTCTTCATGTCCAAATGTCAGTAGCTCCACATTCAAGGATCCCGAACGAGCCAGTTTGAGAGACAGCGGGCATGGGGATAGTGACCAAGCAGACAGTGACCAAGATACCAACAAAGGCTCGTGTTGTGACATGTCGGTGAGGGAGGCACTCAAGATGAAAACAACTTCAACCAAAAGCCAGCCGCTTGAACAAGGTGAGTGAAGAAACCACCGCTTGCCATGTCTTTCGGATGATCACCTTAGGTGTGCTGAGGACTGCTTCAGTCTTCCGGAAAATGTATCCAAGTTGTTGGTGTGGTATGTGTGGCTGTGCTTTGAGGTCTACACACACAGATTCACATGGAAATCTGTGTGGGTGTGCAGTTGTGCCTTCATCAGTGTATAATTATTACAAACATACAGTGGAACGAAGGGTGAATAGCTTATACCTGGGATGGCCTACGAGTGAGTGGTTTCTGTTGTGCATTTAGGAGCGCATGCTTTTAATACGGCAAGAGGACCTGTTATTCAAAAATGGGAAGAGGAAAAACAGGACATGCATGCAAAGCTTGTTTTTGTTTTTTTTATCCTGGTATTTGTGTCCTTTGATAGTCTCTTATTTTGCGCAGTTTGTTGCAATTTTGCTTAGTGTCTCAGGAAGAATCAGGCTGGTTTCACATGGTTAAGATGATGGCTTCATCCGTCTTGGGCTGTCCTTCCCAGCGATAATGCCACACACCTCAATGTTCCTGTGAGTCAAAGATGAATGGTTCAAAGGCTCATAACAGCGGCTAGTTTACTTCTCTTGGAATAAGTAAAGGGAATTTGTTTTGCTCTTTTTACTTGTTATGCTATCAAGCGGATGGGCAGAGTCAAGATAAATGTAATAAGAAAAAGGGTTCCTGGATATAATTTATGTTCCCATAAATTATAAAATACTGTAGTTCATTATAAAATAAAAGTTGTAGACTTCTGCAACTTTTGTAAGTTGTAAACACTTTGACAAGGTACGCTCTTGAGTTAGGAACAAAGGTTAAGATCTGGTGATTTAGACCTCACAAGTAGTGGAACATTCCGTCTTGCTTCTATGAAGTTTCTTGTGTTTTTATGGCAGATTTAACTGGCACTCTTTCTATGTTCCATTGTGATATTTTCATATATTCTATTCTCACTGTTAGGAGTATGTGTTTTGGACAGGATTCTGGGCAATTTTCAGAATCAGAGACAGATCAGGCAGGACATTATCTAAATTCTCTGACCTTTATTCTTATCCGTGTGACTTCAGTCCACATGCTGCAAGGTTGCTAAGCATAGCATAGCATAGCATAGCATAGCATAGCATAGCATAGCATAGCATAGCATAGCATAGCATAGCATAGCATAGCATAGCATAGCATAGCATAGCAAACTTTCATCTCATCCAGCAAATTTTGCTCCTAGACATGGAAATGTAATTGACCTCCTGGACACCTACTCTTCCAAGTCATCTTCCAAACTATGCCAAAATTTCTCCAAAACTTTGGTTGAAAACCAACGTTGATCTGGTGGCACAGTGGTTAGAATGCAGCATTGCAGACAAAACTCTTCCCACAGTCTGGAGTTCGATCCTGACCTGTTCAAGGTGGATTCAGCCTTCCATTCTTCCAAGGTTGGCAAAATGAGGACCCAGATTGTTAGGGACAATATGCTGACTCTGTAAACTTCTTAGAGAGGGCTGTAAGCCACTATGAAGCGGTATGTAAGTCTTAAGTGTTACTGCTATTCTTCTTACCCACAACAAACTAAAACAGGAGTGTCAAACTTGATTTCATTGAGGGCTGCATCAGGGTGGGGCTGGAGGGAAGTGGCCAGTTTGATGTCACATGTGTCGAGGGCCTGAGCACTCTGCCAGAAAAATGGGCTCCTGAGCTCCGTTTTCAGCTGCAATGGCCTCCTGCAACCCCCTGCCAGTGAAAACGGAGCTCGTGAGGGTGGCACGTGGCCCTCCCAAGCTCCATTTTCACTGGCAGAGGCATCATGGGCTGGGCCTTTGCTGTTTCCAAGGTGGCCCCATGGATCTAAGCACTCCCATGAGCCAGATTCACCCCACAGGTCTTGAGTTTGGCAACCCTGATCTAAAATCATTGCTGAAGCCATTTTTGATAAATTATGTAAATAAAATTTATAAATACAGTTGAGCGAGTCCAGAAGTATTTTACCAGAAGAGTACTACATTCCTCTGTTCGCAACAGAATACCCTACAGCACCAGACTTGAGGTTCTTGGCTTAGACAATCTTGAACTACGCTGGCTAAGATTGGATTTAAGCATAGTACATAAAATCATATGTTACAACGTCTTACCAGTTAATGAATATTTCAGCTTTAACTACAACAACACAAGAGCACACGACAGATATAAACAATGTTAACCACTCCAAACTTGATTGCAGGAAGTATGATTTCAGCAACAGAGTGGTCAATATCTGGAACTCGCTACCTGATTCTGCTGTCACCTGCTCAAACCCCCACTCCTTTACCCTCAAACTAACCTTTATTGACCTCACCCCATTCCTAACAGGTGTGTAAGAAGTGTGCATAAGTGCACAATCCTGCCTACCATCCCTGTCCTATTGTCCCCAATTATCAGTTCCTATTTCTTATATTTAAACTTATGTTTATTCTTATTTCTTTTGTATTGTAAGCTTTTGACAATATACATATAAATATATTTGGACTTATTTTTAAATCCTCAATCTATATCCAATAATAATAATAATAATAATAATAATAATAATAATAATAATAATAA